AAGATATAAGGGCATTCACTACAGTCCCCCTCATGATGAACTATGATAATAGGTTAACTATAAGATATAATAGATGAGCTGGGCAAGGTGGTACAGGCCTTTAATCCCAGCACTTGGAAGGCAGAGGCAGGTAGATCTCTGTAGGTGGCCAGCCTGGTGGTCTACAGAGTGAGTTCCAGGTCAGACAGGGCTATGTAGAGAGACCCTGTCTCAAAACAACAACAGCAACAGCAACAACAAAATAATAATAATAAATAAACATAAAAGATACAAGGAAACACAGTGGTAACTGTTCCCCTCTCCCTGCTTCCCAGGCCCCATGACCGTGTTCTGTGTGAGCAAACATCTGCTCACCCCAAATAGGACATCAGTAGCAAACAACACACAACCACACATACAAACAATTTCACCCAAGTAGCTTGGTGAATTACTGAGTTTAATTGGGGCTACTTACAGTAGCGTGGGCAGAGTAATTTACAGGAGTGTAGGCGGCTTATGGGCGGCTATACCATTAAAGAAAAATCTCTCAGCAACTGTTAAGTACCTATAGAATCCTTGAGGAGGAGCTGGAGTGGGACCTTACGAGCCGCTCCCACATCCATGACAGAAAATTAATGGGCCCAGTCTTGTGCAGGACTGTGGGTAGTCACAGCTGTTGACAGTGGCTGAGGATAAACATTACCTTCTGATGGTAAGTGTCTGATGCCCAAGGGCTTAGATGGCTCCATCTTACAGCCTCGCTGCCTGCAACACACGTTTTTCTCTTGGGCTGGTCCCATTCGCTGTGAGGAGCTCTCCCTGGCAGACATCTCACAGCTCTGACATCTTCAACATCCTGGGGTCTCCAGTGCAACTCAAACTGCACTTTCACAGCCTCAGGAAATGGCCTCTCAGGGCCTCCATGCAGAGACTCCCCGACACACACTTGGCCTCAGAGGCTCTCTGAAATAGTAGGGGAAGATTCCACAGCCAGCTTACTCCTGTATCCTTCCTGACTCGAGAACCAGAAGCAGGTGACACTGTCACATTCAGCAGTGGCTTGGGGTAGAGTTCGCCTTCCAATCGCATTTGCAGCAGCTTTTGTCTGTTGCTGCTTTTGAGGAGGAGGAAGTTCCTCAGGCCTGGACTTCCCGGTGTTGGGAGCTCAGCTGGGTGGGATCTTTCCTCAGGGTACTCCTCCCTTTCTCTCTGCTGAAGATCAGATCTCTCCTTCATCTCTTCATCCCTTTCAGCACAAGCCATGTCTCTAACAGCAACTTTCTTGGCACTCTTTTACTCTTCAAACTGTCCATTGGGCGTTTCTTTCTGTCCCATCGACTCCTTTTCATTTTAGACCTGCATTAAGAGTGATTACTGCTGGGCGGTGGTGGCGCACGCCTTTCATCCCAGCACTCCAGAGGCAGAGCCAGGCAGATGTCCATGAGTTTGAGGCCAGCCTGGTCAACAGAGTGAGTTCTAGAACAAGCACCAAAATTACACAGAGAAACCCTGTCTCAAAAAACCAAACAAACAAACAAACAAACAAACAAAAAAAGAGTGATTACTAACCACATGACAGAGTCAATATTAGGCTGCTTTGAAATTTCCTCTGATAAGGGAATTGTCCTTTACATTATTTTAAATTGAGCCTAAGGCAAGTTCTTAGGGCATGGGCAGAAAAACACTTCTTTTTTTTTTTTTTTTTTTTTTTTTGCCAAAATATCACAAGAATGGTCTCTAGCCCAGTTGCTGATGTCATTCACCTCTGAACCCTCTTGAGCTGGGCCTCCACAATCCACATTGCTCTCAGTACTACTGTCTTCTAAGCTCTTCTAGGATGACCCTTCCCGTGACAGTTATGATAAAAGAGCGACAGGGAAGTTCTCTGTCATATCTCACCATAACCAACTACAATGAGAGAGAAGTGAATTCTGGGCACCCTCCACCACCGGTTATGAGAAAAGAGTAGCTAGCTGTAAGATATAGCGGAAGGCTCTGTGGTGCCTCCTGTATTAGTTACTTTTCTCGTTATGTTACAAGATTCCTGACAAAACACATTGAGGAAATGTTTATTTTAACACGCAGTTCCAGAGTGAGTCACAGTGGGGACTCGTGGACAGTACAGAGAGTGGTGAGATATGTAACTAAGGTGAGGGCACCTGGGGAGTGGCTGTCTGCTGGGGGGAACCCCAGGATAGACGTCTTCTTCCAGGAGCTACAGAGTGGCAGGCCTGGTTCATGAGTGGGGTCTGCTCTGGGAGTAAGGGGATGCCTTGAGAACCCCTGAATGTCTAGAGCAGACAAGACAAGCTGGGAGTATTATACGGGGGGGGGGGGAGCGGGGGGGGCGGGGGGAGGTGTCAGCCTGCAGCCAGAGGCCCAGGCCTGGCTGTGGGTAATATGAGATCCATTTGATATGGTGGCAGCTTGGGGGACACTGCAGGTATAAGGGAGGAAATGCAAGGAAAAGGGGGTCTGAGGCTGCCTGGCTTCAGCACTGGCCTCCCACTTAGCAGGCAAATTTGATGCAGAGAAATGGAGGCCTTAGTCTGCTTCTTTTTTTTTTTTTTTTTTAATGTAAGGGATCAAAAGGGGGAGATGACCCAGATTAGGGCAGTAATATAGAGCCATCTGTGGGACCTCCAAACCTGGAACCCATGGGAGGAGTCAGGTAGCGATGAGGGTGGGGGTGACTCAGAAGCAATAAAAGATACCCCATGAGTCCAAGGTTTGATACAGAGAAAGGGAAAATCCAAGAAGCCGCATGCAGACAGGGGTCTTAGCAATGGTCTAGTCACTAGTGGGATAGACCACGACAGTCAGAATAGTCAATGCTAGAAGAGCTGAAATTAGGGGAAAGCTTTAAACGAGCAATGAAAGAATCTCTCAGGGCCTGGCTTGTGAGGTTATGGGATGTGGGGGCAGATAGGAACAGTGTGAGTGCTGTAGAAGCAGAGAAATGAGCAACATAACCACGCACCCCTCCTTGCGACACGCTGCATAGCCTGAGGCAGTACAAGGAGAAGCAGTCCTTGATGGACTGGCTCACAGAAGCCATTAGGGACGCTTGGTCACCACGCAGCTAAGGTTCCCATAGACACCAGGGGCTGGAGGACAGTAGAGGAGGGACAGGCATTACTGAGGGACCTAGGTATGAGGGAAGAAATGTATGATGCCCGGGCCTGAGAGGACGGTGTTCATCAGAAACTCAAAACTTGATTAGCAAGGGCCTGGAGACTGTCATGGGGCTTTAGCCGCTTGGCTGAGCCCTTTGGTGGAGTAGGAAAGGCTTTGGAGGATTAAGGAGGACTTTGGAGGACTTAAGCCAGCATGTAAAGAGTGAGAGCCGCCTAGAGATAAGAGAAATGTAAAACAGAGGAAGAGGTCTGTGTTTATGACCTGAAGGTAATTACGGCAGAATTTGTGTCAAACCCAAATTCCTAAAGGGGAAAAAAATGACAGAAAACCAGATTCTGTGCTAATGAACTGTTGGAAGACTTTAAAGCCAGAAGAGCAGTTCACAGAAGGCATCCACGATAAAACAACATAGATGTAAAAGATCAAGCCTGCCCCAGGGGTGGGCAGTTAATCTCTCCAGACCAAGCAGACTACCTTTCTTGCCTGAAAAAGGATATACTATGGGTGGAAATGGTTTGCCCAGCCATGACCTCTTCCAGCAGTGAGGTGTATGGGGTGGAGAGGCAACAGCCATACCTACACTCACAGTGCCAACCCAGAACCTCTCTGACCTAAGAAACCAGTCTGAGCAGCAAGTGCAGCAGAGGACAGACCTCATTTGCCATTAGCCTTGAGCAGGGCTGGGCTCTCTAGCCAGCCCCACCAAGCTCATGGAGCTGGGGAAATACAGGGAGGTTCCATGGAAGAGCTCCAGGGTGTGGAAGTGAAATGGCTCAGAGAGAGCCTCTGAGAGTTGGGGAAAGCTAAGCTAGTGCCTCCGATCCACCTCTGGATCTGTGGAGGGAACAACTGATACTAATTAGTAAAATCTTCCCGCACGGTTGGACCTTGCTGATGGCGGACTTCAGTATCTCCTGAGTAGTGAACTCCTGTCATCACCTGACACAGCTCAAAACAAATGACAATGGACTTCCAAGTGCTTCGCCAGGCTTACTTCACAGTCCCACTCACTATTCATTATGAGACTTCAGATCGCCATTCTGCCCAGCCTGTGTAGAAAGGTTTTGTTACATATGGACAGCACAAGGCTAACCCTAGGGTTGTGGAGTTTTGGAGACTCTTTTAAGAAACATGTGAGTTGCTGTGGAATTCATGGGAGCTTTATGGTTGGGTAAGGACAAGTGATACCCACCAAACAGACAGGGGAAAGTTTGCAATGCCCCGTGCCTATCAATGTTAAAGAGACACCAAAGGTGAAAATAGATGCACCCAGAAGGTGTATATAGCTGTAAGGTGGTTAATTGGGAACCCCAGTGTTAAGAATGGGCAATCTCTCTAGGAGTTGCTGACCACAGAGGTCCTAGAAGCCCCTAAAACAATAAAGGCCATCACCACAGTTGTTGGTTGCATTCCAGGACTGAATGGTAAGAGCCTGTTGCTGAAGAGGTTTCACATTTGGGCTGCTGACTTGGAGAAATAAAGCTAGGACTGGGTCCAACGTGTCCCCTCCCTGAGAGCTAGTTCCTGCAGTGCCACAAGCTGCTAAGAATGATGGGGAGAATTAAGGCCGAAAGTCCTGCCCAGATGTGGATCTGCATGCTTCATGATGGAAGTGCCAGACAAAATGTGCAGCTCAAGTAGTTAATGACAGAAGCAGCATTCTGACTGGTCTCACTGAAGGCCAGTCACTTCACATCTAGTACTGGGAACTTAGATGACTGTGACCAGGGAAGTATGGGCCCCAGTGGAGAAGCAAGTGCTGTTGATTGGTTATATGATGAACCGGCTAAAGTGCTTCCCCATATTTGTATTTACAGTCCCCGGTCTGTTTGAATCTTTACCATTTCCTGCTTCTTGTCCTCATCCTCACTTGTGTTTTGTAGTAGGAGAAATACACATGAGACTCACCAACCGCCATGTTCTGGAGTTGGAGAAGTGAACAGAATGACATGAAGATGCAGCCCCTCAATGAAGCAGGAGAAATACAGTCATTCATCTGTCCTACCCCATTCATGGCTCAGGAACCCTTGCAGAAGAGGGGGGCAGAAGGAATGCAGGAGCTGAGACTGTCCTCCAAGTCAAGAAACCACCATTTGGGGGATGTACCCCTTTCAAAGATCACCCCACCTGGGCTTGTTGACTGTTAACACTCTCTCATGGAGGGGTGGGGAGGGTTGCAAGACCCTCATCTGAGTATCCAGCCGTGCCCTATCACCTGTTGTACGTCACTCTGTCTCAATTGTACATGGCTTGGGTGGGGGGCAGGTGATGACCACGGACCAGGGGAGGGGGAGTTCCATCTATGTGGCTGTGGGGAAGTTCTCGTCCTGCTGGGTAAAGGCTTTCCAGATGTGGCCTTGTAAGGGAGAACCACTCACACCTGGTAGGTAACCCCTCACCTATGTTCTGTAAGGAAGCCCAATAACCCCATTGGTTCCCCAGTGTGAACCTTGGGTGGATCCTGCTTGTCTTGGACCTTGGGAGGAGGTGGAGGTGGCTTGCAGCCCCTGGGGAGGAACTTGAACAACAGCTCCTGGTTTGGAGGTTCCCACACATACTCTGCTGGGCCCATTGCTCTCAGGTCTCTGGTGAGGGGCTGGATGTTAATGGCAGGTAGCTAGCTTGTGGTGAAACTGCTCATCTCATGGCCAAAGAGCAAACGAGCAAGAAGAGACAAGAATTCTATTAACCCCTCAACAACGTAAGACCCCAGGACACAAAATTGCCCCCTAAGCCCCACCCTTAAAGATGTCATCACCTCTCAGTAGTACTACCCTGTGGTTAAAGCTTTTAACAGTTGAGTCTTTGGGGACCTTTCTGTATCCAGATTCTAGGAAGCTCCCTGTTCTCAGAAACACCTGTGTGCTACTGTGAGCAGCATTCTGGTTACAACTAAGGCTCCTGGCTCCAATCTTACAGACAGTGGCAACAGCACAGGCTTTCCTGGAGGGTAACTACCCTTGGCACATGGCCTCACAAAAGCCCATGCTTTGTGTCCCTCATGGGGGCTGCTGTCAAAGACTCAGGTGCCCACACAGCTGCTGTGTCTTTTGCATGAGAGCATCCAGTTCCTTTGCTGGGGCCTTCTTGTTAAGGAGGAGGTGAAAAATCCTACACGTTCCCAACTCTGACTCAGAACTCACAGTGTTGCCAATCTGAGTGCCCTACCTCCAGCTCATGGTATGTAAAATGCTTGTGATGAGTATCTTTGTCAACTGGACACAACTTAGAATTATCTGGAAAGAGGGTCTCAATGAGGGATTGTCTACAGTGGGTTGGCCTATGGTTGTGTCTTAATTGAGGCGGGAAGACCCAAGTCACTGTAGGTAGCACCATTCCCTAGGCAGGGAGTTTCTAACTGTAAGAGTGTAGAAATCAAGCCAATCATAAGAAAGCAAGCAAACAAGCACTCATACATTCTCTATGTCCTCATAGATATATATGTGGACATAGTGTGATACGAGAACTATCTCAAGCTTCTGTTGCCATGACTTCCATGCAATGATGTGCTCTAAACTGGAATTTCACTAATAAACCCTTTCTGTTGTGAGCCACAGAAATATGAAGTAGGAATTTGGCTGACTATGACAAAGCTATTACCTGGAAGAATCGAGGATTTTTTCCAGAGGAAGCCAAGGCTCAAGGAGTATTGGTGTTATTTGGCTTTTGTATATATCAGCTATTTCCTGCAATGAATTTCATGTGTGCTATTATAGCTTCCCCAATTGATTCTTTTTCCTAATAACTTCTTACAGTGTGTTTGATCATTCATTGGGCACAATTTTTCCCCATACAATTGAGGTATTTGGATACTTCCCCCAACTGTATTGACAACAGTCACACAGGCAAAACTTCACTTTTCTAGACTTCTGTCTTCCCTTTTTAGCATTAGACTCAGATATCTGCCTTCTGTAATTATCTCCATTAGCAAGTATCCAGGGCCAGGGCCATCTCAGGACAAAAGCATTTTATCTGAGATATTTCTCAATTCCAAGGACAGACTGCAGACAGATAAACATTTCAGACCACCTGCTAGTCTCCTGAATTAAGGTGTGTTAATTATGGAGACAATGGCCAAGGCCAAGCGGATATTAGGTACAAACCTTCACTTCTTGTGTAAATTAAGCTTAACCCTTTCTTCCATAGCCCAAGTGGCATCTCTAAATTCCCCTTTAGCAATTAACTCAGAATTAACTCAATTAATTTAAAAGGGCTTTCGTATACTAGATGCATCAAGCTATGACCCCGGCTTTCTAGCTGCCGAGCAGACTTGCCCCACCTGAGTAGAAAGTGGCACAGAGCCAGAGAATTTCGGATTGTATGTGTATTTAAACTGGATGAGAGAGAGGAGGGAGAACAAAGATGGAGCGAAGAAGATGGAAGGACAGGAGGAAGGGAGAGAGAGGAGCTACCTATGAGAACAGAACTGAAGCTGTGTGGAGAGATTTTTTGACTTAGAAGAGTAAAGTGAATGGACTAAAGAGTTTTGTGTACGTAGATTCATTCAGTATCCCTCAGATTAATTAATTCTCGCTGCTGGTAGCATCTCTTCTGGAACCCTGGGAGAAGACTATAGAGGGGCTAGACCCCAATAGTCTTCGATACCTCTCTCCTCTAAGTTGCTTTTTGTCAGGGTGTTTTTATCACAGCAACAGGAAAAAACAAAACTACAGCACTTTCTAGTCAGCCTTTCACGGGGGCTCCTCCCACTGTGAGATGCCCTCAAGACTCTGCTGCTTCATTTGACTCTCCACCAGGCACCACTGCACAAAGGAAACAGGAAGTGGATAGTGACACTTTCTCTAGGTTTAGCCTCTTGCTTATGCCAAGGTTGGAGTCTTAACTGCCATTTGTGGATTGTTGTTTTAATCAGCCATTCCGGGACCCGTCCTCTCCCAGCTCATCTGACTCTAACATTCCAGGTCCACTCACTGGGGCCCAAGTACTTGAATATTTGAGCCTACAGGGGTCATTCTGGTTCAAACCACCACATGGAGGCTAGGTGTGGGGCCAGATTCTCAGCTGACTTCCTGACCTAGTAGAGCAATCTCCGAAGACTGCAGTTTTCTCCAACCTCGGGTGGTGACTGGAGTTTGACCCAAAGTCTCACTCACTGAGTTCTCTACTTCAGATGACGACTGAACGGACCTGAGTTCTTTAAGTTTTTTTTTTTTTTTTTTCTCACGCGTGTGCACATGGGCATGCATGTGCTTGTGTGGAGGCTCAGGGGATGACTTTCAAGACCTGGTCCTTTCTTTCCAACTTGTGGGTTCTAGGCTCAAACTCGGGTTGTCAGACTTGGTGGCACCTTTACCTGCTGAGGGTGAAAAGAACCCAGACATGGCAGCAGCAGCTGGAGCAGGAGCCAGAGACACAGCTCCACAGTGCCTCAGCAGCCCGAGGAGCTGGTCAGAGGCCTCCCCTTAGGGAGAGCTGGGTTCTGACGGAACAGCAGAAAAAGGTTTCAGGCCCAGCTAGGGTGAAACAGAGCTGGAGTTTGAGAAAGGGTTTGTTGGTGGAAGTGTTGTTGTTGTTGTTGTTGTTGGTGGTGGTGGTGGTGTGTGTGTGTGTGTGTGTGTGTGTGTGTGTGTGTGTGTGTATGTGGCAGTATGTGTATGTATGTATGTGTGTGTGTATACGTGCGTATATATGTGCATGTATATATATTTTTGTGTGTGTGTGTGTGATGATATACACGTGTACCACAGAACGTGCACGGAGCTCAGAGGACAACTGAGTGTTGGTTCTCACTTTCTGCCTCCTTTGAGGCAGGGTCTTCCTTTTTTGCAGCAAGACTGTGTACTCCAGACTAGCTGGCTGGAGAGTTTCCGGCATTATCCCATCTGCCTCCGACCTCAGTGTAGGAGTGCTAAGGTTACACACTACAAGTGTGAGTATGGGCTCCTCAAGAGAGAACCCACCTAAAAGTCTTAACAGTAGCCACATGTATGATTTTAGTGATTTCTGAAGTTGTACTCTTTCGTTTTTCCTTTCCTTCTCTTTCTTTCTTTCTTTCTTTCTTTCTTTCTTTCTTTCTTTCTTTCTTTCTTTCTTTCTTTCTTTCCTCTTTTCTTTCTTTTTTCCTTCCCTCCCTCCTTCTTTCCTTTCTTTTTTCTGAGACAGAGTTTCATGTAAGCCATGAAAATTCAAGCCAACCTTGAATCCCTGAGGCTGATCTTAAACCTCTGCCTCCTGAGTGCTGGGATTACAGGCATGCACTACCTTGCCCAGCTAAGGGGTGCTAGGGCTGGAATCCAGAACTCCATGAATGCCAGGTAAGCATTGTACCTACTAAACTATACCCCAGCCCGCTTGTTGAAAGGGTTTCTTTTCTTTTTCTTTTTTTCCCCAGAGCTGAGGACCGAACCCAGGGCCTTGCAAGCGCTCTACCACTGAGCTAAATCCCCAATCCCAGTTTCTTTTCTTTTTATTATTATTATTATTATTATTATTATTATTATTATTAATTAGTTGTTGTTGTTGTTAGTTTGTTTTTGAGACAGGGTTTCTCTGTGTAGCCCTGGCTGTCCTAGAACTCTACTTGTAGGCCAGGCTGGTCTCAGACTCAGGGATCTGCCTGCCTCTGCCTCCTGAGTGTTGGGATTAGAGGTGTGCGCCATCATGGCCTGCTAATTATTTATTTTATTTCATTTTATTTGAGACAGATAGCTCAGGCTTGCCTGGAACTCACTCTGTAGACCAGGCAGAGATCCTTCTGCCTCTGCCTCCTGAGTGCTGGGATTAAAAGTGTGTGCCACCACGGCTAGACTTCTCTCTCTCTCTCTCTCTCTCTCTCTCTCTCTCTCTCTCTCTCTCTCTCTCTCTCTTTCACACACACACACACACCCTCCCTCCCTCCCTCTCTCTCTTACTTACTTCCTTTCTTTCTTTCCAATAGAGATCCTAGGTTTTTTCAGAGTTGTGCTGAACAGAAACACAGGCTGATAAACTCAAACCATAGGACATAAGAACTGAAGAAATGCTTCCCATATTAGTTTCAAGGGATTGAAGAGCCGGGCGGTGGTGGTGCACACATTTAATCCCAGCACTCGGGAGGCAGAACTAGGTGGATCTCTGTGAGTTTGAGGCCAGCCTAGGCTACCAAGTGAGCTCCAGAAAAGGAGCAAAGCTACACAGAGAAACCCTGTCTTGGAAAAAAAAAAAAAAAAAAAAAAAAAGGAGTGAAGATAAATGTTTTGACTGTAAACAAGTTCATAACTTCATTTGTAAAAGTCTCGGAAAGCTACTGGCTTTTAGCTGGGAAAGGAGTGAGGTTAACTCAAATATCATACTTTGACATAAGCATGATTCATTGCTATTTAAGATACTTACTTGAAATATCTCTACACAAAAAGAATGCTGTTTCTCCAGGCGATCCTCATAGCAAATTCTGTCAACGGTGATGAATTCTTGACTCTCAGAGGATAAGAGTCACAGGTGAAGGGCTCCTTTTCCTCCCGTGTTCCCTTCATTCTTGGTCTGGCTGGAGGCCCTGTCTGCTTCCTCTGAGACTTCCCAGCCTTTGCCTTCTGGTGCTGGCTGTCACTCCTAAGAGGGAGCTCTGGCACAGGACCGGAGCCAGATGCTCTGACTGGAAGCTAGAGCTGGTGGGAGAGCTGAGGAATTCAGGAGTGGCTAGAGGCTGGAGGAGACAGGACCCCACAGATCAGCACCAGCCCTACCTTGACTTTCCAGAGACACAGCCTAGGCTCCAGAGCATAGGGCACAGCTCTGTGGTATGGTAAGGCGCTGTAAGCACAGGGAACCAGGATGCTCTGAGTCAGAACTGGGTATGTGAGAGGAGAGCACCATGAGGATGGAGTCAGAGCAAGGAATCAACCCACCTTTCATTCCAGCAGAAGGGGCTAGGCTATGGGGAACAGGCTACGATTTCATGAGGTTGGAAGCTCTGCAGTCACCGGACTAGATGATGGCGGTGCAGAGGTCACATGAGGGGTTTTGTCTTCCAGATTGGCAGAAATGTGGGATCTCTCTGGAGAGTTCATCCCAAGCACCACAAAAGGCAACAGGGATAAGTCAGAGGGGGCGGGGTGATGACAGAGAGACACAAACACTGTGTGTGTGTGTGTGTGTGTGTGTGTGTGTGTGTGTGTGTGTGTAACCTGTGTGTGATTGGAGGTACACGAGAGTCATAATGTGTATGTGGAGATCAGAGGACAATTTTGAGGAGTTGGTTCTCTCCTTCCTCTGTGGGTTCTGGGGATGGAACTCAGGTCCTCAGGCTTGTGCAGCAACAGCTTATAGCTGCTGAGCCATCTCAGAGGTTTTCTTTTAACGTGTGTGCACGTTTGTATGTATACATGTTTGTGCATGCAAGTTATCACAAGCATCCACGTGGAGGGTAGAGGTCAAGTCCTGGTAACTTGCTCAAGGTCTCTCACCTTGTTTCTGGAGTAGGGTGTATAATTACTTGTCTCACTGATGCAATAACATCCTCGATAAGATCGATGTGGTGAAGTTTGTTTTGGCTCACAGTTCTGGAGATACAGTCCGCCATGCCGGGGGAGGTTTGGTGGCAGGAACAGAAGTGGCTGGTCACGCTGCATCCGCAGTCAGGAAGTGATGGGCAATGAGTGCTGGTGCTCAGCGCTCTCTCTCTCTCTGTTTCATGTGGTCCAGCAGTTATGGTGGACTTCCCCATCTGTTGGAAATTAAATCTGGGATCCAAGGTCGCCATCGATACTACACACATGGGCAAAGTGAAAGTA